AACTGGGTAGGATCTGGTTAGAACTGGGTAGGATCTGGTTAGAACTGGGTAGGATCTGGTTAGAATTGGGTAGGATCTGGTTAGAATTGGTTAGAATTGGGTAGGATCTGGCCAGAACTTGGTAGGATCATGGTAAATATGGTAGGGAAACCTGAAGGGTAGAGGATGTTAGGTTCTGTTTAGAATCGCGTAGGATGTGTGTATATAATTTTATATAGGTTTTGCGTGGCATGGTCCGCATGGAACTCTATTGAAGTTAAGGTTAATTTGTTCCATTGGATGGGAATCTAGTAAATGTTTTAACATATTTGGTTCAGTTCTTGGTAGGGAGAAGATAGACAACAGTTTAATGCAAGGTTAGGTTTAAACAAACACACAAAACGCATAAATCTCCAGAATAGGTTTACGAAAGTAAGTTCGGAGCTTGGTTAGGTTTTAAATCTCCAGAATTGACAGTATATTTTGTAATAAGGAGAAATGGGTTGGGTTTAAATCCTTCAATATCAGAGTAGGTTTTAAAGTAGGAAGAACAATTTCCTGGTTATTAAATCTCCTAGGTTGGCTATGTTTATATTTTGTAATAAGGAGAAAGGGATAAGGTCTTTGGGTATCCGAGTTGGTTTTAAAGTAGGAAGAACAATTTGGTGAGGTTTAAATCTCCTGTGTTGGCTATATTTTTTGTAATAAGAAGAAAGGGATAAGGTTTAGCTCTTTGAATATCCGAGCTGGGTGTAAACCGTATAGTAGAACGAGGTTTTGTTCCAAGAAATCTGGGTTGGTTATATAGCAAGGAAGAACAGTGCGGGGTTAGGTTTAGTGCCAAAATATCCAGATTGGTAACATATCACGGTTAGATGAGATGTAGTGGCTGACTAAAATTTGAAATATATATATAAAGTTGTTCAAAGAATTGTAACTTCTGAGGATCGTCATAATAGACGTGAAACATTATGTTCAGTATAATTCTTTTTTTAATAAAAATGTGAAGTTAAAAACAGAAATATATATATACATCTCGTATATATATATATATACTAGCTTGGAAACCCAGCTCTGCCTGGAAACTTAGTTTTCCCTTTCAAAGTTGACCCACTCATTCAGAATTTGAGCGGCGGCTTAAATATTTTTGGTTTCTTTTAAAATTGTATTCAATGTTTCAAGATTCAATTGAAACCGGTTTTTGGCGGATTTTTGACGCGGCTTACATTCATTAAATTCGGACACAGACTAAGAACATTTCCGTGGTTCTACTCCCCAATCAAAATTTGAGGCAAATTGGTCCAGAGATTCAAGTGTTATGATATAACATTCTAACAAACAAACAGAGATTACAACTTTATAAACATAGATATCTGTTTTTATATACAATGGTCGGCGTTTCTATAAATACAATGAAGACAACTTTTCTATTTAAGTTTTGATTTCTAACAAGATTTTTTCAAATTACAAGTTTACAAGTAAACAAAGAGAAGCTGTTAATTTATAGCTTCTGTTAGTTTCTTTTTATGTGTATCCATTCTGCTTAAAACATTGGTAGAAATTAAAATCTAAATTGGTCTTCATTGTATTGATATATACGACGACGACAGTAAACAAAATTAAATTGTGAAGGCTATGAGGTGTACTAGTGGTCAACTGGGACGGGAGGTTGAGAAGTACGCTAAAGTGCTCTGTGGAATGACCGCACAGCTAGAAGACGAACTAAATCTTAAAGTTGGTCAAATTGTCAAAATTACACATATCATTGATAAGGATTGGTATAGGTAAGCTTTCAATTAAGGGAGGCGTTGGATGATCCAAGTACAGTAGGACCCATAAATCTGTGGAATAGGAGGACGACATTAAGCCAATCTAATTTCTAGTTCCTGTTTCTATACAAATAGTTTTATATTGAAAGCCATTTGTTTTATGCTGTTTCATGTTCAATGAAATATTTAAAATCATAGCTTGAGTCAAACAGTCGTCTTACTACTCCACAGTTTTATGAGTCTCACTGTATCTTATGTCCAATGTTTTTAATCTAAATTTGTATTGGAAATAAATCAAAGAAATATTGGAGTTTTCTTCTATATTTCCATTTCGTGCAAAAATCTGAGCACTATATATAGACATGTTATTGAACAGAAAGACCCCAACGAGGTTATAGTGTAAAGAGTGATAATGTACGCTAATCCTTTACTAATTGTACAGGCCATGAACTATACCGAGAGCGTACTGCATATTTGTTTATTTTAAGTTGATTCTGCCCTAACATATAATATATCATTATTAGTAAACAGTTGTAAGTGTACAGTACAGCTAACTGAGCACACAGGTAGGAAACTATCATCCCCCGGTCCCTGGTGACCCTAATCTACCTTACTTCCCTCCGTTGTAAAATCCGTTGTGAATCGGACATGTCACTGGAGGTTCACTTGAAAATACGTCTACAGTCCCTTTAAATGGACTGTAAGTGTAATTTTAAGTGACCCCCCTTGCAAAGATAGCTGCAATATCTGATTTAGAACGAGACCCTTGGAAGCTTTGTCTGATCAAGTATGAATATTAATGTTTTTGTTTCTTTAAACTGTTTATTTTTATTTGGCGTCTCTACGAAAGTGACTTGCGCATTTCGTGTGAAACTTTCAGAAATAAAGACTTTTCGAGTCAGAAAAACGACGAAATCTTCAGCTTTATTGATCATAAAAACGTTTCAAGGGTACCATTGTAAATCGGGCATTGCCATCTTAGTATGGAAGGTCCTTTGAAATTACACTTACAGTCCCTTTAAGTTTAAAATTTTAGAGGAGAAATCAGTGGAGTATCCGGAGTTTTCCCAGCTAGCTTTGTCCGGGTAGTTGATGCTTTTCCTGGAGATTCTCCTCATCAGACAGTTGATATATCTTCATATATTCATGCTAACTCACATCAGGTTAAATATAGTTGATATATCTTCATAT